AAAAAAAAAAAAGTATCAAGTTATAAAAATCAACATAATAATTATTAGTAAGAGCTATAATACTTGTTGAAATTTTACTATATGGCAGGCTAAAGGCTTTATCACCTTGTTTTAATCTTTACCACACACCTCTGAAGGAAGAACCATGATTTTTATAGAAGAGGGCATGCTGAAGGTCATAATTTTAACTCCTTCGATATCTATATCAAACTTTTTCTAAATTGTGGAAGGAACAAGATTATTTTTAAAAGAACATTTACATATTTCACAAACCATAAAATCCACCCATTTAAATATATAATCCTGGGGGTTTTACTATATTCACTATCACCACAATCTAATTTTAGGGTATTTTTCATCCTCCCCCAAAAAATTCCATGTACAACAGCAATCGGATCTAAGTATATATACTTTACATGCATAAAAGAGATGCAAATTCTTTTAAATAAAGCCTCCATTAAATATATGTATGAATGTATATTTGATACAGTTAATGCAAAGAAAATCATGAAAGGAACTGTAAAGGAGAAAATATGACTCGGGTCTTTTCTAATTTTGTATTAGCAACATCACCAATGGTTTGAATAGAGCAAGTAATCAAGAGCTGACATCCACATCCAACTCAGATTACTGTGGGTCAAACTGAGAGTTAAAGGACTTCTTAGCATTTTCACATTCACATCCAAATATTAAGACTAGGAGGAAATGTAGATAAAATAGTGTATAACCCACTGCCTTTGATATTCACTCCAATACTATATTAGTGTTAAGGAGGAAAGTTTAGGAAAATAAAGTCATAAAAGGAGATATAACATTTTCCTTTTCAGCATGATATGCTTATGCACATTTTTCCAAGAACCCACAGCATTGCATTTGATAATTGACAATACTCCTGAAAGCACAATTTAATGAACTCCGCATTCACTTCAAAAAATGAAAAGGAACTCACTGTTGGTAAATGCATATTCTTCTTCATTTTCGTCACTGTCCTCAGACGGAGCTTTATAAGGAGGTGGCAGTTTCACTGGAGGTGGAGCTGTTCCTTGTCTCTGAAAATGCAAAATTTGAGAGAAGGTTAATTGCCTTTGCACAATCCTCTTCCTCAATGACAAACAGGCTAAAAAAATAATCTGGAAATATTTTGACTGAATCCCACTTCAGTCATATAACAAGGACTGTAAAACAATTTGTTTTCTTATATTTATGTTATTATGTAAGTGACTGTGATGTAAGCACACCACTACAGAAAACAGGAATTCAAAAGCACAGCATTTAAGACTGTTGACCTACCCAGAAGAATGCATTCCTTTCCCCAGTGAGAAAGCCAATTATGTATATTTTATTTACAGTTACCAACCAAATAATCCAAATGAAAAACATTTCAAAATCCACTGTATTAATTTTACATTTATTTAAACTGTTCATCAAATTGTAGAAGGTACAGATTTCATTCTTTAAAAAATAGCTGAAATGAAATGCCAAGGTTTTCTAACTGAAAAAATATTCATCTGTAATTTATAGTCAACACACATTTTAATGTTTTAAAAAAGAAAGAAATCTTTATGATGAATACTTTTTGTATTTTGGTGTAAGTATTCTTTAAATTTACACACCACATGATACAGCACATAAATATTTGGTTCGGACTTAATTAAAGCAAAACAAAACTCAATGATCAGATTACCTTCACAGAATGCAGACATTTTCTTGAACGCTGGGAAAAATAAAACATGCTAACGTTTATGGAGGTCCAAGCTGCTAAAAAGAATAGGAGCTGATATACGCAAGCACTCCACAGATACCAAAATAACTGGATTAAGATTTTATTTTGCTACAGGGTTTCAGTAGAGTACATTCAATTATGATTTACATGACAAAACCACTAATGGCAGGATACACCCCAGTAAATGGACAATGACTGGTCCATTACAGAAAGCAGGCATGTAATAAATTCCTCCAAAGCAGAAAACACTCTCTGCGATCCATAAACAAAAACACACACCCAAATTTATTTAAGATAATGTCTAACCAAAGCAGCACTTCATCTATATGTAGAAAATTCAAAAATCAGTAAAATGCAGGAGTGATGAAGAAAGAGAAGATGCCAAATACAAAATGCCTATTAAGCAACAAAAGAATACAGAAATGTGATCATGCTGTATCTTTATTCTTCCTTGGAAAACCTTAGAAGTGAGTTAAATGAAGAGTAAAAAAGACAAATGGATTCCTTTCAGTAAACCTTTTCCTCAGAACCACATCATTCTAGGTCAAAATTAATAGTTGGAACAAGGACAGCCAGCTTTTAATATTAAGAGAGAGAATTCTCTTTGACAGTGTTTTAAAAACATATTTCAGAGGAAACTGTTTACACCACTGATTTATTAAAATTAAATTCTCCAACACTGTGGAAAAGAATATAGAATAAGCATGTCTTGGTGACCCTGAAGTTTGAATGTGGGTTGCCATATACCTGGGGCATCTTTCTACTGTACATGAGGGAAGGTTATAGGCAGGACCTGGCTCTCTCTGTGGCAATGAAGGCTGGAGCAAGATACATACAAGGAGGCCAGGTGAATGTAATCTCCATGAGGGCAGAGAACAATAGTGTCGTATCCTCACTCCGAGAACAGTGTCCGGTACGAAGCAGGCCTCCCTTAACTATATGCTGAATGAGTAAATAACTGGTTGTCAGTCATGCCAATTAGGTCTTCTAACATATTACCTTCCAGAAAAATGACAATGATGGAAAAGGTTCTTGTCCAATAGCAGTGCATATTAATTTTGTCTGGTAGAGATGCAAATTATTTTAGTCCTGTAGAAAGGATAACTCCAAAGGTTATGGTTTTATTTCCCTGTAAGACGTTAACCAGTTTTGTATCTAAATTTGAATCTAACTTATGTATTCTTTCTTTCTTTCTTTCTCTCTCTCTCTCTCGCTCTCTCTTTCTTTGACACAGAGGGAGAGCGCACAAGGAAGGGAAAAACAGGCAGGGGGAGGGAGAAGCAGGCTCCCCGCTGAGCAGGGAGCCCCCTATGTGGGGCTTGATCCGAGGAATCTGGGATCATGACCTGAGCTGAAGGCGATGTCTAACCGACTAAGCCACCCAGGCACCCCTGCATTCTTTCTTTGAACAATTAATAAATACTTCACTGTCTCCAGTTCTCTCTGAACCAGGCTAACCATCTTGTTGGTTCCCTCGTTAATGAGTTAAGTAAATAAATGTACATTTTGCATAATTTTATAGGTCACATTTTTATTTCTTAAATTATATTTTGTCAGTTATGGAGGTCTGTTCAAGTAGACTCACCTTCCAGAACCAGTTAAACAGTTACGCCTGAAATATGCAATTCATGAACTGCATAAGCCCATATACATGATTTTTTGGCGCCCACGGTAAATCCCCAGTGGCAACAGAACTTTGTCTTTTTGACTCTGTTTCTCTTATTTCCAACCCTATGATTTTGTTTCTGATACTAAGCCAAGTTTGGCTCTGATTTGCACTTGGGCTATAAGTTATTTCCCATTAGTAGCAGCAATAAATGGAGTTTGGTGTTACGGTCTAACAATTTAGTGGTATTTGAGGGTCTATTATATATTGGTTCTACAGGGATCTATTCTCTATAGGGTGAGAGACAACAGCAAAGGTTGTTAGTCTTTGTTTGCCTGTTGGTAAGTTTTTGTATACTAACAGGTCCTGAGTCCAATGGAAATAATAGCTTTTCGACATACAGACCAGAGGGCTTGTGTACTTCTGAGTCTACATGTGTCTTATGGCTGAAGCTGCAGGATAGGAGCTGAAAGTGCTCTGTGTAGCTGAACGTGAGGAAAGCCCTTACGTCTCACTGTGAGAAATATTTTCCTACCTTCAGAGGATGCTAATAAATTAGAAAAAAAATCTTTCCGATCGGTTTGAAGAGACTAATAAGCATTGTTAAATCTAATATTCCCAGAGTTTTTCAGAAAATAGTAAAACTAAACTCACATTACCTTAGATGTGACAGCCTTTTAATTAAAAACCAAAATCCATTTTTACAAAAACCACTAACTCAGAAGCATTTTAATGTGACAATCCAGATTCACAATATCAAAGTGATTTGGTGATTTAAATTTAGAAACAGTTCTACTTTCTTCCTGATATCCTTGATCTTACTGATGTGGTGTATAAAGCAAAAATATGTAAGACTGTAAAAACATTTACAACAATGTTGCATGATCCGCACATGTCTACATGCTATGTATGTATACAGATATATTTACATATTGCAGAGTATTGTCAGGTAGTTCTAAGACCTAACACAATGTGGAATATCATGAGAGAACACTATCATCTGTTGCTGTTAAGAATAATCAAAGATGGGGCGACTGGGTGGCTCTGCATCTGGCTAAGCATCTGCCTTCAGCTCATGTCATGGTCCCAGGGTCCTGGGATCGAACCCCGCATCGGGCTCCCTGCTTGGCGGGAAACCTGCTTCTCCCTCTTCCACTCCCCCTGCTTGTGTTCCCTCTCTCGCTGTCTCTGTCAAATAAATAAATAAAATCTTAAAAAAAAAAAAAAAAAGAATAATCAAAGAGCACATCCTGTAACATTCTAAGTGCCACCAGGAAGATCACAAGAAATGATTTTGATCTTTGCAAAAACCTTCATGAGGTTCTCCTTAGCCCCAGGCTCTAGCATGTCCAGATTTCTCACTTGAAATAGATGCATGTCTTCACACACCTTACGGAGAAATAATTTAAATATAATAAAATGTACTCCATTTAAGTACTTACTTGGAATAGATACATTTTTATAAGTTTAACATGACTGTATTTTTAGGGACTATTATGTTTGGTGGGAGACGACACTTTCATTTGGGTAGTACATAAAAAGAAAAGAGAACTAACAGTAGGAGACTACTTCTCTGTGAACGAGCATCTCCCACTTGTGTTCGTGTCCGTGACTCCTTTAAGACAAAGAATATATGATGTAAACCTGAAGAAAATTTTAGAAGGAAAATACCAAAGAGTTACGAGGATATAGTTAATATTAGTATGTCTATGACTCCTGATGGCCTGTCTTTTCACACTCTGTGATGAGAAACAGCACAGACAATAGTGAACTGAAACAAAACAAGAAAAAAACTAGGAATTTATTCAAGACCTGTTTATGTATTTTTTGGTGTTTTTTTGGGGGGGGGTAACTTAGTTTCTTAGTCACACTCTCTTTTTTTAAAATGTGAATGATCTCAAGCCAAAATTTAGATTTCTAGCCTACACCTGTCCTAGTAATTGGCTTCAGGTACTTTTTTTTTTTTTTTTAAGATTTATTTATTTATGGGGGGGAGTGAGTGGGGAGAGGGGCAGAGGGAGAGGGAGAGAGAGACTCTTAAGCTGACTTGTAGCTGAGCATGGAGCCCCCTGATATCATGACCTGAGCCGAAATCAAGAGTCAGGCACTTAACTGTGCCACTCAAGTGTCCCATTTCAGGTGTTTTTTATCGTGTCTTTTTTGATTGTCTAGGTAATTCTAGAGAACATGCACTGCTTTTGTATTAAGGAGGAAATAATGCATAAAAGGAATTACTTCTAATGATACTTTTTTTTTTTTTTTTTTTAATGAGAGAGAGAAAGAGCACGTGAGAGGGGGGAGGGTCAGAGGGAGAAGCAGACTCCCCGCCGAGCAGGGAGCCCGATGCGGGACTCGATCCTGGGACTCCAGGATCATGACCTGA